GCAAAGAGAAGGGAGACATTGAACAATGCAGCACCCCACTAATTAAAGCACAAATAATGACTACATAGCATAAATTTTTTCCCATAAAGCCTTTGGGCAATCAAGGCCAAAAGCTTTCCCACCAAGATCCTAATTTATCAATTTTCAAATCTGAAAATTTTAAATTTTCAAATGTTGAAAATTTTAAGCTGGTGCTGGATGGTTCGTGACCCATCAAACAAATTAAAATAACATAGATTTTGTAGAATAACCTTCCTCAATGCTTGCATCTTGTGGTTGATCGTTGAGATAGCTGAAGAAGTAACATTAATTGGTTTTGCTAAATTACATACAACAGAGTTAATGTTAAGGTGAGCACGAGTAGCAATTGCTGGCATGCCCACTATAGACAAAGCTAGCACTGCGTATTCTGCTTTATTAAGTAAGGTTGTTTCAGAGTCACAAGTATATCTAGTTTAACCCCACGTCGAGAACAATTCAAGTGATGAATTTGTTGTTTAGAAAGTAAAATAGGAATCAGTCAGCTGAGGCAACATTGCGCTTCAGTAATATTAGCAGGAATATAATTAAAAGTTTCTTTACCACATGTAAAAACCATCATTGTGGTAGCTAAGCATGGGCAAGGTGAAAGAAAGTCTCTTCAAAAGCCATAGTAAGGGCTAATGCGATGACAGTGAGGTTTTTTACTTAAAGATGTAAAATTAATTACTTTTGCACAAGTTATATTTACAGGGACTGCTACCATTGAGGTGTGTAAAGCATAATAGGCAGCAAATCCTGAAGTTTTGAATTACTGCAGAAGGAGTGCAGACAGGAAATAAACATATAGAAAGCAAATGTTCCATATCATAGGTTTTCGATAAGCAAAAGACATCCTTCTGTGTGATGTTAGCCAATTGCACCCATAAGTTTTACTTCATTCGTTCAAGTGAGTGTTTGTATGAAATGACAGCCATTGTTGCCAAATAACAATCAAGCATAAACAAATGAGCCCAGATTGGACACTGTGCCATCTGTAAAGTCAAATTCCTGGGCCTGGGACCGGATCTGGGGATTGGTGTAGACATCCTTGGCTGGGCGGACACAACAAGCTGGAATCCACAAAGATCCTGTAGGAGCAAACACAACAGCACAGCACAGCCCCCTCACCCCCAAGTAGTTAAATTTTGAATAGAAACATTCAATTAATTTAAGGTAAATAGAAACATTAAATTACATTCAATTGAGTTAAGATAAATAATACTTTTTTAACCTGGGTTGATTTAAGGTGTTGATTTAAGGTTAAATAATACTTTTTAAACTTTTTTAGAGACCCCTTTCCCTCCTTTTTTATTTATTTGTGGAGACAAGCCTTAAATGACAGATGAGCATGTTCCATTATGGCTATATTCCAGGTTGTACAAAATTGCAAAAAAGCCAAATATCATGTTGTAAAAAAGAGGGTTTGCCTAATAAGTAAAATGGATTTGCCAAAGTTGATGATGAAACAATCTGCTTGGCTTAATTAACTGGAATATGGCAAGCTTGTGCCAGGCCTCTAGCATTGTGATGGAAAAAAGAGTGACTGAAAGAGGCCCAGAAAAGGGGAAGTGACTATGTATGTAAGAAATATCTTTGGTTTTGTAGTAGCTGTTGCAAAATTAAAAATAAGGTCATAAGATTATGGACAATCCTGCGCATAATATAAGCACCTGGAAGATTTAAAGTAAGTTAACACATAATGAGAGTCAGATATTAAATCAAAAGACTATTAAGAAAATTTTTTGAAAGTTAAAATAGCAGGACACTTTCCAGTTATCATCCTGACGATCCTTGTAAGGACAGGAAAGAATATTCATTAAGCAAGCAAGCCAAGGATCTCTGGACAAACAATACAGTTTACATAGTCAAGCAAAGGACATTGAAGAGATAAGTTATTCTGAAAATAAATTGAAAATCAGATTTACACAACTTCACTCTTGATACCTTACTGCACTTTATCAAAATTACAAAGAAAGTTATTTGCAAAGCCCATTGTAAACCTTTCATGCATTCTTCACATTCTTGTTGTAAACCCTCCAGATGGAGTCAAATTTTAGTGTCAATTCTCTGCTTTAATCAAAATATGGATTAAGAGCATGTACAGAGTGCAGCTAATTTTAAATTTTGATTCCCCTTGCTGAAACTGGGAATTGAACCATCTGCAAAGATAATGGTTCCACACCAACTGCCAACCTGGGGACTGAGCCACCTTTATAGATAACATTCCAGGCAAGTTGCCAATCTCAGCGTAGCTATCTGAGGCTGCTTTATTTGAAAATTGGAAAAAAGAATCAGGAGATGAAGCTATGTAACCTATAAAAAAGTTATTTTCTAGGCTCATCTTTGTCGAGGCAAAAACTCAAAGCAGAGAAAAAAAATTGTTAAAGTGATCGAAAGCTTCACTCTTCCCCCCCCCCTTTTACAACAACCAGTGAGGACAAGAAGGGGGGGAAATCACACACAAATAACTTTCATTATCAGTAAAGCACACACAAATACACAAATAATATTCTTTCCAGTAAAACACATACATATCTCCATGTGATCTTTGTTATGTCCGGACCATTCTCATTTCCTTACACACACTATTTCTTACTCTCCTTTCAATCTGGGATGGGGGTCAACACACAAATATTTATACTAACTTTTTTACCATCAACATACTCACACATTTACACTGTAATCATACTACTTGCATACTTAGAAATTATTTTCTGGGAGCCAATAAGCTCCATTGTAGAGGATCTCATCCTCCAGGGCTGGAAATGATTACATGGAGACACATTCTCACACACAACATTTCCAGACCTGGGGAGGTTTTGTCCCTTTAAATCTTCACATTTTATTTTTTTCTTATTTGAAAAACCTGTAGTTTGTTTTCAGAGCACTGGGATAACTCAAGGAGTGGTTCCAATCACAAAGGCGATTGTGGGCCCGAACCACTGCCTATCTGCTTCCCAACTCTAAGCCCAATCCAAAAAGCCAATTTAATTCTCTGGGTGCCAAACATGTTACAATTAATTTATTATGAGCTGCAGCTGTTCCAGTTAGGGCTATACACAGGTAAAGGAATTAGGGCTATACACAGGTAAAGAAAATTTTTCTTCAATTCAATCCTATTCAATTCTGCATACACTTATTTTACATTATACATACACAACTAAGTTCTATTTTGCATGCAATTATTATACATTATTATACATACACATCTAAGAAGTTTGAATGAAAATCACATCATGAAAAGAATAGTAAACATTTTCTTCTTCTCTTAGTTCTTTCTAACACACATATAACAGCAAAAATTAACCATCTCTTCTTTGATCAACCCCAATGTACTTTATGGAGGGGCTCTATTTTAAACACGGATCTGTGTCTCATTCCATGCTTCTGAACAGCAGAGCTAACTGTAGACCTGAAAGTCCAATTGAAGAAGATTTTGGAGTGACAATTTTGGAGTGGATCATAATCAGGAGGGGGGGGGGGCTTATAGTCAATTATTATTTTGCTGAGACATCAGAGCCAGATGTTTCCACTGCATGACAGCATTGATACCATCGATGTAATATTTGAACTGGAGCCTTGGGTTCAATATGTAAAGTATGCCCTATGTTTATCCAATCCTGTAACCGGAGCATCTTGCGCTCAGGGTCCCAGGGACAAAGCTTTCCTATCTCCTTAATCAGCTTCTTTATATCAGCCTCAGTGTAGTTTTGCACCTGATTCATGTAGCAGGAATCTAAGTTCCTGAACATGTTCCTGCTGATGCTGAGATAGATTGCAGCCCATACTTACCCCTGATCAGTCCCGTAGGACGTGGTGTGCACCTTTGGGGTCTGTTCCAGACGAAGGCAAGTATGTTGGGAGCTGCGTCCCCATAGGGTAAATGTCCCTGTTCAGGTGCCATATGTGGTCATCAAAGATCAATCATTGTGCAGGGTGCCAAGATGACTGCCCTGGGCAGCATTTATTACATTTATAGGGTTTTTACAAGAAGACAAAGGCAACATAGATACAGCATCTGGATTGGAGAATAGATGCCACATGGGTGAAAGCTCCCATCCACATTGGTACAACCTCCCAACCAATCCTTAAGATTAGTGGTGATGTTAGTAAATGAGATCACCTATATGTCTGGAAAGTTAGGGACTTTCCACCTTTACCAAAATATAGGAAATGAGATCATGCCAATAGCCAAGAGGTCCCCATAGGGTTTCTAGATGGCAGTTTGCTGCTTAGCACCTAGCACCATCTGTAGGATCTCAGTAGCTACCACAGGCATCCTTGTCTTGTACCCTTTTGAATTTCACATGAGTTAGTTAAGTTGCCATTAATAACAATTTTTGATTGATGTGACGTGTAAATCGCTTTAACTCCTTGAATAAAGTTTTTTTCCAAAGTCAATTTCTTCCACCATTTTAAACATAAAAGCCCAATTTAGACTGTCAAAGGTGATTATAGCAGTTTTTAAAAATGTATTAAATTATAATACTATCAATCTTACAGGATTGATCTCTGCTGAAATTCACAAGAGTGTAGCTGGTCAAAACAGCAATTATTCAAACATAAGCTTAATCAGTTTGCTTTCTTCTATGTGCTTAGCCCTCATAACATCATCAGTTCCCAGGTTATCTTTGGGGGAAGAGGCAAGTTAACATAATTCCAGACAAAGCATGAGGCGCTAAGGACATAGAATCCACGAAAATAATTTCATGGACATTTTTCAAGATAGCACTTTATTTTAAGGATGACATTCTTTAAATTTTACTTAGAATAATTTTAAAATGAATAATGATGGGATTTTGCAGGCACCAAAGATGGCATCCATAAGCAGATTGATGCCCATGAATGCTGGGTTTTTTTGGGGGGGGGGGGAATTCTTCAGATAAACCTTGAATTTCAAACCAGAGAAGTTGTGCAGTATTGCAGTACTTAAATTCAATCAATAATCGAATTTAATAATTCTTTGGGGTTTTTTTCAGATTTGTGTGAGCAAGTGTCCAGATAGGTATATCACTTTTCTACAGGCCTCCAGTATCGACCACACAGTAACCCAGGAACTAAAATATTATCAACAGTTTTGTGTCCCAGAGTTTACTGATCTGAAGAAGGTAAGTGAGATGAATTGTTGGATTGTTGCTGTGTTCTTTCTTAAAACTCAGGTAGAGAATATCCTTTTTTGGACAGAAATTAATCATTGATGCACCCTGTCTCTTTCAATCTCTGTTCCAGAGTGCACCTGAAGTGTTGAAAGACGGTGAATGTCCAGCCATGCTTACACCAAGCAAGCCCTGTAAGTCCTTCTGTAAAACAAGGCTGGTAGAAGAAACTCTAGGGATTTAATTCTAGTTTCAAGAGCAGCTGAACCACCTTAACAAAACCAATCAAGGGCTGTGACTGCCAGCTTCCATAGTCATTCCATATACAAACTTTAGATTTGATACTGATTTTGCTTGTTACTCACAGGATACATCTCCTTAAATTACTTAGCCTAGTTTTTCCTTACTCTAAGGTTTAAAAACATCCAAATAATTAATTACATAAACTTTGTAGCTGCTTGGACTTGGTGGCTAATTATTATTCACTTAAATTTTATGAAGCTATTACTATGTAGCTTCAGTGATTTAAGTTGGGAACAGGAGGTAAAACCTGTGATGGTTTCCAGATTCTTAAGATTTTTTTTTTATTTTCAAAACTCAGCAGCATGGTTGTGCAGAGCAGAGCTTGATCTCTACTTATTGTTTTAAAGACCAATATATTAGATAGAAAGATCAAGGGTGTTGCTTTTAGCTATTCCCACAACTTATATTGAATAATGAGTATGATTCTTGTAACTTGAAATGTGTATTTTTCTGTGTGCCAAGGGGTCCCTCTTTTCTGTTTTTTTGTTTTTGAGCCAGTTTGTTTTTGAACATTCAGTAGTGGATGAACTTCTTTCAGCCAGATGTTTGTAATGTAATTTTAATAAATTCACCACTGAAGTTAGATTATGATTTAATACAGCCTCTATTAGTAGTCACAATTGGGAGTTTCAGATAAATTAGAATGATCAGCTTACTTTAGTAGTAATAGAAGTAATAGTAGTTGGCATTTCCAAGATAGAAAACAAGTGGTAACAATAGAGTAATTATAAAAATGTTATCAATAAAAACAGTGTATTACTAAATACAGATACTAATTTAAGCTAATATGAACCAAACCTTGCAATCATTTGTATTAATAATTGTGTTATACTAAACATTTGATTGACAATACAACCAACTAGAAATACATCTGAAAAAAACAGAAACTAACATGGAAATGTCCATTTTAATAAGAGCAGGATGGGAAAAACAAACCTTTTCCCTTATATACCAGTTAAATAAAAGTAATTTTAAATACCTCTTTAAGACTTTAAGACTCTTCCCAAAGGGTAAAGGGGAAGCTAATTCTAGAATTCTTGAAAGCTTAGAACCTAGAGATTACAATTCTGGATAGGGAACAGAAAGGAAACCTTTCCCAAAGAATATAAAATATCAACAAGTTTCTCAGAGGACATATAGTTATGGGAGGGGTGGGAGATGAGGTACTGGGAGGCTCCTGGGAAGAACCAGTAGTTTAAAGTGAGTTGGCTTAAATAGGGAACTTGTGAAGGCCCTGCAGTATTTGTGAAACATGAGAATGATATGTTGCTCTAACGAGGCAGAGGAAATCACTGGGGTTAAGTGTTTAAATCTCTTTGATGCTTAAACAGTGGCTCGTAGATGTTTACCTGCAATCAATAGTAAGAAAGGTGTTATCATGGTTGGAAACGCAACAACTTTTGATGATGGAAGTGGAAGTGGGAAGAAAAGGAATGTGACAGAACTTCTGGAAGGGGCCAAGTGAGTTTTATTTGCCTGTTGTGATTTATTTATTTGGTTTACATGGACAATAAGAAAAAAAGTGACTGGGTAGGAAAATAAAAACCAAGCATTAAAAAATCAAACACAATAATCTGGAATTGAAAAGAGAATTAAATAATAAAAATAACGAAATTAACGAAATTAACCAAGGCCAAATAACACTTATCATGTTTAAGATCTTTCATTCTGGCCTAATACTTGAGGAGAAAAATAAGATTTTTATGGCCATACAGAGGGACAGACAGATGAGAAACATCCAAACTTTGTGGGTTATGTTATTTCACAGGGCAGGCACTGTTAACATCTAAATGTTACAGGCATCTAGATCCTACTCTTTCATGGAAGGGACTTGAAGCATGCCCACTCTGCTGGATTTCATGGGCCTGGCAGAGATAAATGGAGACAAAATCTCTCCAAATAGCCTGATCCATGTCACAAAGGATTTTATAGATCTATAAGCATGGGAATTGCATCTGAAAGATTATCGGGAGCCAGTGCATGGGGCCAAGTAATGGTGTTAAATGGGCATACCAAGTTACTTTGCGGGTAACCTGAATCCAATTGAGCACATCTGGGACATCATGTCTCGCTCCATCCACCAATGTCACGTCCAGGAGTTGTGGGATGCTTTAGTCCAGGTGTGGGAGGAGATCCCTCAGGAGACCATCCACCACCTCATCAGGAGCATGCCCAGGCATTGTAGGGGGGTCATACAGGCACATGGAGGCCACACACACTACTGAGCCTCATTTTGACTTGCTTTAAGGACATTATATCAAAGTTGGATCAGCCTGTAGTGTTTTTTTCCACTTTAATTTTGAGTGTAACTCCAAATCCAGACCTCCATGGGTTGCTAAATTTGATTTCCGTTGGTAATTTTTGTGTGATTTTGTTGTCAGCACATTCAACTATGTAATGAACAAAGTATTTAATAAGAATATTTCATTCATTCAGATCTAGGGTGTCTTATTTTTGTGTTCCCTTTATTTTTTGAGCAGTGTACATATTTTCTCTTTAAGAACTTAGTGTGTATTTTAAGAATGTACCAAGCAGAATTCGATTGGTAAAAGTTATGTGTTATAAAATAGAGGTTAGATATTGAATGCTATAATTGTAAAGGCATAAATTGAAGTTTAAATAACATTTGAATGGACAAAAATTAAAAGATACAAAGGTGTCATACTCCAATCAGTAACTACAGGGGAAAACTTGTTTAATGAGAAAAGAAAATATGAAATTGAAACAGGACAGATAAATATATAAATATAATGATTTGAAAGATATTGAAACTTAGAAAAAGATATATAATTGAATTTAGAAAGGAATGAGATAATTAAAAACAAGGTTGAGAAAACTAAGGGAAGGGAAAAATCACTGAGAAAATGCTAAAATAGTAATAAGATATGGTATAGAATACAAAGATGAATATTCTGTATGGAGAAGTAATAGCCCAGGATCATGCTATTCTCAAAAAAAGATGTTTTATTTGTATTATGTTTTGTGAAAACCCAAATAAAAATTTTTACCAAAAAAAAAAAATCAACAAAATGCAAGATGACAAACATCGTTCCCAGCAGCTACAAATTAGAGTAGGGATAGAGTTTATCTGTCTATGAAATATTTGAAATTGCAATGGCCTTCTAGAAAGTTGGGACCAAAGTTTTTGGGTCCTTTTAAAATCATTAAGATAGTAAATCCAGTTACAAGCTCCCTCGCCTGTTAGGGAAAGTACATCTGGTTTTCCATTGCAGCTTGTTAAAGCCGGCTGTCAGTTCTTCCCTTAGGCCAGTAGATCGGGCCCCACCAAAACCATTTACTGATTGCGGGTCGTGAACCTTATGAGGTTAAACAAGTTTTAGATTCCTGAATCTATTGGGGTCAATTACAGTATTTAATGCATTGGAAGTGATATCCTATTTCAGAGCCAACCTGGGTAAAAAGCTGGAAGTGAATGCCGATAGACTGATTAAAAGGTTCCATGAGAAAAATCCTCATAAACCGAAGTGGATACATGAAGGTGGCAGGGGAGGTTAGAGTTTAATTGATCTTATCATTGTGTCTTTGTAGGAAGTTATTTTCACTTGAAGGGGGGACAGCCTGTTGACCCTGAAGATGACATATTTTATATTAGCCTTTGTTTTCTTTTCTTTTCTATTAAGTTTTAGGTTTGTAGTAACTGGATTTAATAATACCGTGTCTCCAACAATATGGCCTCCCCCAATAGGAAGTCCCAGCATGTTTTATAGGCATGAAATGAAATTAAGCCCCTCCCCCCCAAATTAAGGCCTATATTAAAACATGCAAAATGGGGGGGAAATGGCGGAGGGGGCTTGCTGTTAGGAAGTACTTTTGTTGCACACCCGGATATGGTGCTGCCTGCGTTGACCCTGATACAAAGTGCCCCACCAATGCAGAGGTCAACATCCAAGCCGCCCTAAGATGCAGGGGGCGGGAAATTAAGTCACTCCTGAAAAGATGGCCTAGCCATCTTTCCGGGGCTCAAAAAAAAAATAAGACCCAGCCTTATTATATGAGAAACACGGTAATTCAGGTTCATCATTTTCTAACTGTTGAAAGGGGGGGGGGGTTGTAAAGATAAGGAGGGAATGTTATGTCTAGGTGGCATTCCTTTCCCATGGGAATAGATCAAATGCCTGCAGCTGGCTGAAGGTGGAGTTTGGAGTCACTGGACTGTTGGACTGAGAATTGATTGGAGATTATGACTTGGGGGGGGGGGAAGTTTCACATTTTTGCTTTTATTGGGTGTAATTCTGGATCAGGTTCAGAGTCAGAATTATACTAACTCCTTGTCAATTTAATGTGTTCCTAATAAATGGATTTGAAAAGGAAGATAGATACCTTGGACTTTATTTTTTGAGACACGTTACTTGGATGCTTGACAGATGGAGCACCAACAACTTCTGAAGGCAAGATATTCCATTGGTTGATTGGTCTCACCCTTAGGAAATTTCTCCTTAATCCTAGGTTGCTTTTCTCTTTGGTTAGTTTCCATCCATTGTTTCTTGTGCCTTTTGGTGCTTTGGAAAACAGACAGACTCCCTCATTTTTGTAGGAGCCCCTCAAATATTGGAACAGTGCTATTTTATTGTGAGTTGTGAGTGACCCGCTGGAGGTCATTTTGCAGGGCTCTGGCAGTGCTCCTCCTGTCCCTCCTTGCACAAAGGCAGAGGTAGCGGTCCTGATGCTGGGTTGTTGCCCTCCTACAGCCTCCTCCACATCTGATGTACTGGCTTGTCTCCTGGTAGCACCTCCATGCTCTGGACACTATGCTGACAGACACAGCAGACCTTACCACAGCTCACATTGATGTGCCATCCTGGATGAGCTGCACTACCGGAGCCACTTGTGTGGGTTGTAGACTCCGTCTCATGCTACCACTAGAGTGAAAGCACCGCCAGCATTCAAAAGTGACCAAACCATCAGCCAGAAAGCATAGGAACTGAGAAGTGGTCTGTGGTCACCACCTGCAGAACCACTTCTTTATTGGGGATGTCTTGCTAACTGCCTATGCTTTCCACCTGTTGTCTATTCCATTTGCACAACAGCATGTGAAATTGATTGTCGATCAGTGTTGCTACCTAAGTGGACAGTTTGATTTCACAGAAGTGTGATTGACTTGGAGTTACATTGTGTTGTTTAAGTGTTCCCTTTATTTTTTTTTGAGCAGTGTATATAACAATACTATATAAAACACTTATTCAATTCCAATTCAGCTCAAGCATTAATGTTAATTACAATCTTACATTAATATTGATTAACCTCTTTAACATTTCTTTTCAATTAAATATACTTCCTTAGGAACACTTACAATATTTTCATATATTTTTTTCATATTTCTTTCATATTTCTCTTCACTTAAATTTTTATAAATCATTAATAACAATTAAAATGTTCCCATCCTTTCCTAATTTCATTCTCTCATTCTCTTTATTTCATTTATTTATTAATAAACATTCCATTATATTACAATAAGTATTTTATTTATCACTTTAATCACACTTGTTTCATATTTTCTAAGTTCATTTCTATTTCTAATATAACAATGCTGCCTTATGTACCCTTGCAGAATCCTCTCTTTCAATTAAATTTTCACCCATTGTCTCTATGTCTTCTAAATAGGCTTATACCTTTAATCCTTGTATATTTCCCCTGTATCTCTATATCCTGTTTCTATCCTTTATAACTTCTTTTCCTTTCTTTCTTCCCCCTCTTCTTCTCCGTCCCCTTTTTAACCCCTTGTCTCTCTAATTCTAATTCTCTCTTCTGTAATCCTCTCTTCCGTTTCTTCCTAATATTGTAATTGCTTTTCAAACTATTCTTTTTTGGGTTGTTTTTTCAAATCTTAAATTTTTCACTCTCTTTCCCCCCTTTCCTTTTTTCCCCCCACATAGAGTTACTTGGTCATTAAAAAATGGCTTCTTCTTTGTCCCGCCCTTCTTGTTCTGGGAGCATTTCTTGTTGTTTCTCATAGTTCAAAATCTCCATTTCTAAGAATTGAAATACGAAGCCAAAAAAACCTCTTCCTTCTTGTGCATCTTTCTGTTTTTTAACTTCCATTTTCAGTTCTTCCAAGAGTGATGCCATTTTAAATGCTTTTAAACAACCACCCAATTGATTTTAATCATCTAAATCCAATAACCAAAAATCCAAAAATCACCAAATAATCCAAATAATCCAAGGCTGTTTCTTCTTGTTTCTTTTTTCCACTTTCTCTTCCTGGGGCTCTATTTATCTTGTTACAAAGTTTCAGTTAGAATGTATCTTTTAGGAATCTTGTTAAAGTTTCACTGTTAATTCCTTTTACTTCCAGGTGGTCTCCTCCATTTTAACAGATCCCACCCTTTTATTTTTTTCTCTCCTTTCCTTCTTTTAAAAGTTTTTAAATGTCCAAAAGTCTTTATTTTCCCTTTGACATTTTATTTTCACTTAAATGCCTATTAATGTCAAAGTGAATTATC